TGAGTCTGCATACCACAACTACTGAAGCCTGCGTGCCTGGAGCCTGTGCTCTGCAACAAGAGAAGCCACCGCAATGAGAAGCCCACACACCACAATGAAGAGTGAAACCCGCTCGCCGCAACTAGAGAGGGCCCGCATGCAGCAACCAAGACCCAACAGCTAAAAATAAATAAAATAAATAAATTTATAAAACAAAACAAAATAAATTTAGCTGTTAAAAAGAAATCAGTGTATTAACTGAAAATGGAATCAGTCAGTCAATGAGTAACAAGCACCTCAAAGCTAAAATTGCCAAAGACAGACCGTCACTGAAAGTGATTAAAGCAGGAGACAGAAACGCCCGGTACCTGCAGGAAGCGACCTTCCATCACCCACGACCCCACCCTCCTACACTGCCTTGCGGTCACCACTCCTCCAACAAGAAGTTCCTCCCCCTTCCTTGGGCACAACATAATGTTCAATGTAAGAAAAGCTTTTCACAGGTAGTCAGAATTTATTTACCTGATGGTCTAAACGCTTTATAAATTCTATATAAAAATGCAAGTCCAAGGAAAACTCAGTTCTCTAATTTTTGTCTTTTTCCATTCTAGAGAGAAGCCAAGTACAGGTGCTCATCGCTTTTTATTTTTCTTTTCTGAGACAATGGAATCACTAAGGTGATTCCATTTTGAAGATGTTCCTTTTTCTTACAGGAGCCCTGCTCCAGCATAACAAGGTCTAGGCCACCAGAAGAGCTGCGGCCCAGTCACCCACCGTCACCAGGGGCTGCCCCGTGGATGTGAGGTCTGGATACAAAACATATCCTGCCTCATAGTTCCCTAAAAATGCTCCATCCTTCAACAAAAAACCACAAATAACAAATTCTGGCAAGGACGTGGGGAAAAGGGAACACTCTTGCACTGCTGGTGGGAATGTAAACTGGTGCAGCCACTGTGGAGAACAGTATGGAGGTTCCTCAAAAACTAAAAATAGAGCTACCATACGACCCAGTGATTCCGCCCCTGGGTATATATGCCCCCAAAACGAAAACACTAATTCAAAAAGATATGTGCATCTCACACCAGTCAGAATGGCCATCATCAAAAAATCTACAAACAATAAATGCTGGAGAGGGTGCGGAGAAAAGGGAACCCTCTTGCACTGTTGGTGGGAATGTAAATTGATAAAGCCACTATGGAGAACAGTATGGAGGTTCCTTAAAAAACTAAAAATAGAACTACCATACGACCCAGCAATCCCACTACTGGGCATATACCCTGAGAAAACCATAATTCAAAAAGAGTCATGTACCAAAATGTTCATTGCAGCTCTATATACCACAGCCAGGACATGGAAGCAACCTAAGTGTCCATCAACAGATGAACGGATAAAGAAGATGTGGCACATATATACAATGGAATATTACTCAGCCATAAAAAGAAACAAAATTGAGTTATTTGCAGTGAGGTGGATGGACCTAGAGTCTGTCATACAGAGCAAAGTAAGTCAGAAAGAGAGAAACAAATACCATATGCTAATACATATATATGAAATCTAAAAAAAAAAAATGGTCATGAAGAACCTAGGGGCAAGATGGGCATAAAGACACAGACCTACTAGAGAATGGACTTGAGGATATGGGGAGAGGGAAGGGTAAGCTGGGACAAAGTGAGAGAGTGGCATGGACATATATACACTACCAAATGTAAAATAGATAGCTAGTGGGAAGCAGCCACATAGCACAGGGAGATCAGCTTGGTGCTTTGTGACCACCTAGAGGGGTGGGATAGAGAGGGTGGGAGGGAGGGACATGCAAGAGGGAAGAGATATGGGGACATATGTATATGTATAACTGATTCACTTTGTTACAAAGCAGAAACTAACACACCATTGTAAAGCAATTATAATCCAATAAAGATGTTTTAAAAAAAGAAAAAAGATATGTGCACCCCAATGTTCATATCAGCACTATTCACAATAGCCAAGACATGGAAACAACCTAAGTGTCCATCAACAGATGAATGGATAAAGAAGATGTGGTATATGTATGTGTGTGTATATATATATATATATATATATATATATATATATACAATGGAATATATACATATATAATTGTATATATAATTACATGGAATATATATAATGAAATTTTGCCATTTGCAGCAGCATGGATGGACTTGGAGGGCATTATGCTAAATGAAGTAAGTCAGAGAAAGACAAATGTTGTATGATATCACTTATATGTGGAATCTAAAAATTAAAACTAGTGAATATAACAAAAAAGAAAACAGACTCACAGAGAACAAACTAGTGGTTACCACTGGGCAGAAGGAAGTGGGGAGGGGCAAGATAGGGTTAGGGGATTAAGATGTACAAACTACGTATAAAATAAATAAGCTACAAGGATAAACTGCACAACACAGGGAATATAGCTAATATTTACAATAACTATAAATGGAATATAATCTTTAAAATTGGGAATCACTATGTTGTACACCTGCAATATATAATATTGCATAACAACTATATGTTAATTTAAAAAGTAAAAAATTTTTTTAAAAGTCCCATTCTTCTATCACGTGTTCGGTTATCTCATTTTTTTCTAAGCTTCATAGAATGCCTTTTTTAACAAACACTTTCTTATTTTTACATTTTTCTGGTTTCTTCCAAAGTTCTGATGCCAACCCGGTAAAGGCTACTTGCTGGAGAGAATCACGTCAGATATTATTCATCATTAGATACTATAACTAAGAACAGCAATCAGACCCACTTGGGCCATACTGGATGAGAAAGTTCAGGGAAGCTGCTGAAACACAGTGGAGTGTGCCCACTGTGATCTGGTCCATGTTTTCAGAACCCAAGTAGGGGAAGGTGAATAACCTACACATAAGAATCGTGGTCGGGGGGGAGGGGGGCAAGTCAGCTGGGGTGAGTGAGCTCCTCGGCGGTCCCAGGAGCGGCCCGGGTGACGTCTGTGACCCCAGCCCTGGTGCCACAGGCGGGCAACTGCAGAGGACAATAAGGGACAGACCGACCACCACGTACTGGCCGGCTCACTCTGAGGATAATGATTCAAGCTTTGAAGGAGGCACTAGGATGTCCAGTTATCCATCCAGAAGTACCTGGCACTCAAAAATCCACCGTGAGGAGGCAGAACCTGGTATGCTCTCTCAGGGCTGTCCAGAGGAACTTTTTGGGCCGTCCAATGCGGCAGCCACGAGCCACAGGCGGCTCCTGAGCAACTGAGATGTGGCTACTGCGACTGAGAAACTGAAATTTTCATTATTTTTTATTGTAATTAATTTCCATGTAAACAGACCCATATGACTAGAACTACCATCTTGGACTTTGCAGCTCTAGGTTTTTAAAAACTAACATAAACACACAAGAAAAGCCTGAAGAAGATTATTCACAGCCACACACCCCTAGTGATGTCTGTAAAGTGGTTCTATCGACAGGGTCCTCACCTCACACAGGCCCCGACCCGATGATGGGATGGCTCTTTCCCCCACCTGCTCCCCCGTGTCCTTTTCTCTCTTCCTCCTTTCCCTCGTACAGAACTCCAGCTTCACCACAAGGGCCTCTCTTAAAACCTGCGAGTCCTGCATTTGTCCAAGTAACCAAGGTGTCTACATGTCTTCAATTTCTTTCTTTTTTATGGTTGCTATATTATAATCTTTTAAGTGTTAGTGTTTTTTTTTTAATTTTCAACTTTTTATTGATGTATAATATATTCATAAAGAAAAGTACAAGTATTATTAGTGTACTTAAGCTCAATGAATTTTCACAAGTTGAATACATCCCTGGTTATCAGCACCAGATCAAGAAACAATATTACCAACACCTTGGAAGCCCCCTTTTTGAGCGGAGAACTCAAGAAATGCTGCACCACCAAGGTTCTTAATGATACAAGTGTTGTGTGGAAAACCATGGGCATCCAGGATGCCAAGTCAAACGGAGATTCACGAGGGTCTGATTTTGAATGCAAAGAAGCTTATGTAGTACACTAACCAATTTGTGTCACTTTTTCAAACACGTGCAAGAGTAGGTATTTGATTTTTAAATATCTGTGACAAAAGACTTAGAACTCTTTCAATTAAGTGTTAGTATTATATTTACACATATAACATATTTACGTACATCAGCATTATTTCTTATAGTAACACTTGCTTTGATTCATTTAGAGCTGTTTGAAGCACTGGTTTCCAGGCCTGCAAGCACCTGACACAGCGACGACTTCTCTGTGGATCTCTTTTATCCAAACAAACATTTCCTTGTTTCACATATATGATTTATCCTTTTCTCTTCATAGTTATCTATGTGTTTGTTTTATCTGTTTGTGTATTTGGACAAATCTGATGTCAATTCTGTTCAGCTTTAATTTACATATTCTGTAACTAGATCACCAATATGAATAATTTATCTATACGTTACTTTACCACTTGATGGTGACAGAAAAAGCAGCGAGGACTTCAACACTTATTTGTACTTATTTTTCATTAAGAGCACTATCCTCCCCATACTATTATCACATATTTAAAACACAGGCATATTCTGCACTTCACGCTATTTTTTATCCTATAACAGAATTATCTCATCCCCAAATAAATAAAAGATAGAGAAAAAGAAACAGAGGCAAGGTGAGAGCCAGGGGCGAAGCGGCAGGAGGTTCTGGAATTTCTTAAGAAGGTGGCGAGACGGGCAGCTGTGTGGGGAGGATTCAGGAGCACGAGGGACGAAGGGTGGGGCATGTGTGCACCTGCTGAGACAAGTGTCAGAGGGCAGAGGTCCTGGGAAGCCTGGTGGTCTGGGCCGGGCCTCAGGAGGCCAAAAGGCCCAGAGGAAGGCGGGCTGGGCAAACACGGGAAATGTTGAAGAGGGGCCTCGGGACAGCGATGGGGGAGTATGATGGGGAGGTGTCTGGCTCCCAGAGGGTCATTACGATGCTTCCTACAGCTGCTAATCTGCATCATGTTTCAGTTCATCCCTGAAATAATTTAAATAAGAAAAAATTTTACCTGTGATGTCCTGAATACCGTGGACCACGGATATGGCCTATCCCTCGGCACCCTGGAGTGGGACAAACAGCTTGACCTGGAAGGATTTTCACATCATTTGCCCCTTCAGGAAGTAAAAGAACATACCTTGAAAACACCCTCAGCAAAGAAGAACTGGAAAGACTAAAATATGCAAATGATATTCATCAAGACTTTTCAAATTAAAAACAAACCGTCACCAGAAACACTTATTGGGTACTTGCGATGTTTTATAAAACGATTTAGCAGAAAATATCAGTGCTGTAATGGATAATATAAACAGCAACTAACATCAGAGGCTGAGCAAAATGAATAGGCATTGAAGAAATTTAAGTAAAAAAAAAAAACCCAGAAGAACATGACATGTCTTCAACAGAATAACACTGGCAAAGGCAACACAGCCATGAGCTGAGCAGGTGAGTGGGTGAGGTCTGGTTTGTGGCTCCCCATGAAACTCCCACTCAGCCACAGCAAGGCTCCCCCAAAGGGTGGACAGAAACTGAACCAGCAAATGGGGCACAGAGAAGACAGTGACATGGCCCTCCCTGTGCCACTCAAGTGTGTCCCAGCAGCTGAAGAGCCAACTGCCTGACCATTCTGTACTGGGCTGGGCTGTGCTATATACACTCTATGACACTATTCTATACAGACCATATCACACGGTACTGTACCATACTGTATATATATAGCATACTCTACTATACTGCACTATACTATACTGCAATACACTATCCTAAACTATATACACTATATATGCTATACCGTACAAAACTACTACATATACTATACTATTCTATACTTTACTATCAACATATATACAATATTACAGTATACTACATATACTATACTAAACAATACATAATGAATCCAGGCCAGAGATGAATTCCGTCAAGCCCAAGAGGCAATGTAAAGAGTATCAGGATTGAAACCCCCTTGCTCTGTTCTGTGATTTTTCTCAGTCTGGTTTGCCCCTTCCCTCTCCTCCCCTCGCTGCTACACACACACACACACACAGGCTCCTGGAATGTGCTACCCCCTCCTGTCATGCTGCTCTGGGCCTCCTTTGATGAAGATCCCACACCTTCCCCCTCCCTCCCCAGCTCTCAGATTTCCGTCTCCTGTTCAAGCTCCTGTGTTCTTGTCCTCCTCTCAATACTTTCTCCGACTCCCAGCTCTGATTTAACTTGCCTGTTGGGTGAAGACATTGCACCCTGCAGCTTCTTCAGGAAAAGACGTGCATTTTCTCACACTCCACGTGCCCCAGGACTGGCAGAGAGGAAACTGCCTTCTTTTCCCGGCACCCCTCCTCGACTGTGCTTCCTCCCTGCTCCTCGAAGACTCCCGATGCAACAGGCCCCAACACCGCTGGCCTCTCGTGGCCCACCCCCCAGCCCCCACCACCCCGCACCGCTCGGGAAGACCTCGGCCCCGGCTCCCCGGGTGCCGCTCCGTCCCTGCTCCACCGTCGCCCGAGGCGGCCCCAGCACCCGCCCTCCCGGTTGTCCTACCCCATCTGCTGCCCTCACAGATCATTAACCGTCTCATCCTCAGGGGCCACTTCCCCAAACCCGGCTGGGCCACACACGCAAAGAAAACCCTCCGGATCTCGTCGTCACCCAAAATGGCACCGCTTCCCAAATCATCTCGTAGTCAGGCTGCTTTTACTCAGGTAACCCCGCTGCTGAGGCTCTTTCCAACATCATGGGAACTTCCAGGCCACTGATCTCCCTTCCTTCTCACCATCAGTCCCCTCGCATCACGACTCCCTTCCCTTGTCTGAGTCTATCCACCAGTATTTGACCTTCTGTTGCACGTGACATGAACTCTCTTGCCTCTCTGACCTTTTATCACATCTGGTTGTGAAAAAAAAAAGCCAGCCATGAATCAGTTGTGTTATCCTGCTGCTCTGTGTTCTTCATAGCTAACTCTTCCTGGGAAAAATTACACAGCAGTGTGGATTAGGTGTGATCAAAACATCTGTCTTCAGTGTCACCTGAGCCCTCTAGGCTCTCCCAAACCTCCCACTAACCTCCCTGCTCCGGGACTCAGTCGCTGGCTCGCCTGCTGCTTCACGGAGAAAACAGGAGCCTGCTCACCGGTGGGCCTTCCTACCCCCCCTTCCCTCCCATCACAGTGCAGGGAGCAGTCTGCCCTCCCCCGAGTGAACCCTCACCGGTTAGGTTAGGATCTCATCTTCCTCCCACTCTTCAGGAGCTTTGGGCTATCAAATATTCTAATTGCCCCTTGACTACTGAATCCTTTCTACCAACACTTAAACACACTCCTGTTTTCCCCTTTGGAGCCACAACCCCTTTAGCTGCTGTTCCCTCTTCTCCTGTTCACAGCCAGACTTCTCAGGAGGTTCTCTCTACTTGCTCACATCCCATTTCTTGAACCATATCAGCCTGTCTTCTGAGGTCACCCGTGACCTCTCTGCATTAGGCCCAACACGCACTGCTGAGAGCACACCACACTCAGTGCCTTGGCGCTAGGCTGACCACAGCTGGCTACCGCCTTCTTGAACTGTTACTGTCCACTGGCTCTGGTGACATCACACTCTCGCCATCAGCATGTGGGCATTCTCTTCTTTGCCAGCTTTTCATCCTCTGGTGAAATTTAAAATGTCAGAGAACCCCAAGGTTTGTTCCTGGGCCATCCATTTCTTCGTTCACCAAATGTATACTATAGATGCTCAGAGGCTACAGCCCAGACACTCTGTACGTTCTAGACCAATGCATCCAACTCTTCACCCAACATCTCTGTTGGGAATCTCTTAAAGGCGTTTCAAATTCAACATGTTCAAAACTGAAGTCACCGCCTGGTCCCCAAACTTCTTTTCCTCTAGAGCCATTCGTCTCAATAAACCGCATTAATCCTTGACATCTTTCCTGCCCTCATTTCACTCCACCCAACTTCCGGCCAATTCTCAATCCCTTAGGTATTTCCACCTGCCAACTTATTCCTATCACTACTGGGTGCCCTGACCCAAGCCATCATTGCCTCCCCCTTGAACGACCTCAGCACCGTCCTTCATTCAGTCCAAGTCCCCATCTTGCAACCAGAGTGACATTTTCAAAACACAAATCTCACTGCATCACTTCCCTCTTAGCTTCTTTCAATGGCTTCTCATGGCTCTTGGGATTAAGTCCCAAATCCTTAGCCTGGCCTACCTGATCCCAACTCCTATCTACTTCTCTAGATGCGTCTTACTTGATCTTTCCCATTACTCAGTATTCTGCATCTATACTGGCCTTTTCCTGTCCCTTGAACCCACCAGGTTCTTTCACAGCTGAGAGCACTTGCATGCTGGAATGACCTTCCTACCTCTCAGCCTGGAAAACTCCTACTCATCTTTCAGGTCACAGCTTACATTTCACCTCCTCAGGCTAACTTCCAAGAGTAGGTTAGGTTCCCTTTTTTAATAGCACTTACCTCTACTACAAATTAAATGATGTATTTGTTTAGTGTCTCTCTCTCTCTCTCATATTAGAATCGTGAGCTGCGAGCCTGGGCGTACTGCACCATTGTGTCGGCACTGCCTAGTATGTCACATAGTCACTGCTCAGGACATGCTCACTGAATGACTCGATGAGCCTTCCATACCTCTTCCCTCAAGATGCTCAGAGTCTAGAAGAGAGGCTTACATAGAAACCAGAAATTGGCATTACAGTACGATTCTGTTGCAGAAAAGTACTGACCAAGGCTGGGTCCCAGTGTATGACGCTGTTAGAACAAATGTTTGCACCTCAAATAGATTTTTGTTAAATTTACTGAACAATAGGAAAGTATGCCTTAGACACTTATTACACCCTCACAACTCCGTGAAACGCCTTGAGGGATAAGCAGAAATAAGAGCTGCCCTACCCCAAGGTAGCTTTCAGAAAGAGCTTGGAAAAAGAAAACAATTATTAAACAAATGAATGTTTAAAACTTGTAAACAAGCCCCTAATTAAGACGTATGCTTGTATCAAACAGTAAAAAAAAAAAAAAAAAAATCTATGAGAAAAGAAAGAAACACAGGGTATAAAGAGACTTTTCTCCAAACCGTGCCTCACAACATGCTCCCAAGGCCACCAGCGCAAAGACCTAGAACCTAAACCCACAGACAGGCCAACAAGCCAGTGCCCACCTGCCAGCCCAGATGCAGCTCTGTGCGGACAACGTTTCAGCAGCCTCCCAATGAAGGCTACTGAGTATTTCAGGACTATTTTAATGCACTTGATTCAATCAAGGCTTGAAGTGATATTTTATCAATTTCATCAAATATTTATCAATGCATATTTATCTCCAGATCCCTGATGGGTGTCGTAATTCTCTCCTTGTAGGATCTGTAAGGAGAGGCGTGACCCCGACTATCGGAGAAGAGTTATTACATTAAGAACCACAGCAAGGACATACAAAGAAGTAGTTATGGAGAACATGCAATGAAAATGCACAGAACCTAACAAGTTTTCTTGGTAATTTTGTGTGATGAAGTTTAATGGGTTGACTCGATGGTGAATTAGACAGAGAACCGTCTGTTGGTGAAAAGAAACCGGTAAATTCTGTAATAGTTCGTGTTATTGCCTCTAGGAAAAAAGGGAACCTATGATAAAATTAATGCTTTTCCCCAGAAGATAACTGCATTTTTGCCAAGAATATCTTACTTGTAACTTGGCTATTTGGAGAATTAGGTCTCAAGAAAAAATGTTCTCAGCTCGAAATCCCTTCCTTAGAGAGAGCATCGCTGACCGTATCACCCTTTCTTGCCTTCTTTTTACCACTTTGCCTGAAATGCCCTCCCTAGTCTATCTGCTCATCGCCTGGCAGGTGAGTCCGGGGCAGAAGGACATCCGCCTCATCTAGCTTGTTAACCGCTGCACCCCACCTGCCACAGTAGGGACGGCACGCAGGAGACGCTGAGTAAGACTGTGGTTTGTGAACGAATAAATAACTACAAAGACAGCAACAGTGACCACCTCTAAGCGCTGTTTTGGTACATCCTGACCACAGTGCTGTGAGATAATCACATATTATTCTCATTTCAGAGCTTAGATTGTCTAAAATCAATCTTCAGTCTGCTAACTACTGCGAGCTACTCGCTAA